AGCTCTTGGGCCATCTTCTGCTACTTTCCCAGGCACGTTATCAGGGAGCTGGGTCAGAAGTAGAGCAGCTGGGTCTCAAACCGGCACCCACATGGAATGCTGGCATCACAGGCAGAGGCTTAACTTACTATGCCACAGCACCAGCCCCAATTAACAGAATATAAGGTAATTATGAAAGACTGATAAGCTGTGATAATGGAAAACATCCTAGAATCTCAAAATCAGAATTTGAGATTGTGGAATATTTACATTGGTCCTTGACGTCACACCGGGAATCAGCAGTGCTTCTCTCAGAGTTACAGGGAGTCCCATCTTTAGCTTTTGTCAATGTTTCTGGTAATTTCAAATTAATACTTATCGTGTTTGGAAAGAGGGTTTAAAAGTAAGAATTTTGAGGCAGACATTTGTCACAGCAGTTAAGATGCCTCTTGGGATACCTATCTGGGTTCAAGTTTTAGCTCTGCTTCCAATTCCAGCTTCTTGCTCAGGTGCACTGTAGGAGGCAGCAGGTGATGGCTCATGCACTTCGGTCCCTGACACCCATGTGGGAGACACAGACTGGCTTTGACCTACCCCAGCACTGGCTGTTGCAGGCATTTGGGAAGTGAGCCATCTCCCTCCCTGCTTTTTAAATAAAATGGAAATTAGTAAAACAAAATAAGAGTTTTCAAGGACAGGTTTCACTTGGTAAAATGGAAAGCTTTGAAGACAGTGAGTAGACAGGTATCTAGAACATTCTGCATTGAAAACAAATTCAGAATTCCTTACTTTCTAGAGCCCTTACCCTGCAAGCGAACCATACGTAATAATAACGATGCTGTTGTGCATAACAGCAGCAGCCAGCATTTCAGGTGTGCTTTATTAATGCTCGTCACAGTGATTTGATTGCCAGTCATTCACTCTGTGAGGTGGGTACTGCTTGCTCTCACTTAGCCAAGAATGCTAGAATCAAGTCTGAACTGAGGCACGTGTTTTTACTGCAATATCTAATGCAAGACATTATTTGCAAATAGTCTGGTAACTATCTTGTTCTCATTTGGGTGCTTAATGTCCACTTTCTAGATTTCTGTTAAAAGTTGAAAAGCAGATATATCCTTGTTGTTAAAAATAGTAATTTGAAGGTATATTGACATCTACAGATTCTCCAACTTCATGTCTGTATCCACATTTAATTCCATCCACCAGAATCTCTCAAGTAAACAAATGACCTTGCCATTGTCCTCATTTGACACCTTTTGGGATTCTTCATCCCCTACAAGAACGCATAGATGGGCTTTTTTCTGTCACCTGCCAGCCTCTCCTGTGTTACTCCCTTGGCTCCGATTTCCTTTCCAGGTGCAGCAGATTGTCACCTTGCTGGGTCATGTCCTCTTCTGGGAAACCCCTTAAACCCTCCCCCCGCTGGCTGACTCAGTCTTTTTCAGTCCTGATTCTGCATGCATCAGAACTCATCTACAAGGTGTTTTTTTTTTTTTTTTTCCAAAAGGCGGGTGTCCAAGGGGCATCCCTAGAATTTCAGATTCCTTGGTTCCTGGAAGAGGCCTGGGCCCAAGCATCTCAGAAGCACTCATAATTCTGATATTATAGGCAGGTGGATGAGCCTCTGAAATGCTTTTGTCCATGTCCAGAGGAGCACCTGAATGTACCCATGGCACTGCTGCAGCCACCACCGTGCAGAGCAGTGGCTGGTGTGGGTGTGGCTTCCTCAGCAGAGGATCCGTTCTCCAGGGCAGCCCTGGATGTTGATCTTCATGGGATGATCAGCTGTCAGCACGGAACCTGGTGTGTAGCTGGACCCCACCCCTGGCCCACTGAACAGCCATAACTGCAGGTTCCTTTGTTGCTGATCCCCTCACCCGCTCCTGGATCCTACTCTTTGACTAACAGCCCAGTTTCTTCTGAAGTAGAGTGGAGCAAATGACGAGGATAGAGGCTGCTATTTAAAGAGCCACCATTCCTGACTTTCGTGTTTAGGTGAGGATCAAGATCTTACCCTGTGGGGAGCAACTGGGAGCAACTCGGACTAGACTAAGTTACTGGAATTAAGACTTATTCTATGCATCTGCTCTCCCACAATATGGCGCTGGGAGAGGAGGAAACAGCTTCTACACAGCTGCCTCCAGTTCAACCAATAAACAGCAGGACCTGCTCCTGATTGCAGGAGAGCAGCGTACTCGGCGTGTGGGTAGCAGAGTTGGGATTGGTGGAAGAGGACTATAAAGGAGGAGAGAGACAACATGCACCGGGAACATCTATCTGAAGGAACACCTGTGCAGCCCCCGAGAGAGCCGGCCGGCGGTGTGCCGCTCCCTGGCGGAAGTGGGGAAAGTGGCAGGGGGAACCGCCCTTCCACGGAGGTGGAAGGGACGGTAGCCAACCCAGGAAGAACCAGCAGCTAACCCGGGAAGGGCCGAGCAGACAACAGAACAGCGCAGGGTCTAGTGTCGTTCCTCCGCGAAGACGGGGAGCGACATTACCCCTTTTCCACTCCTCTGCTCTGCTTAAACCAACAACGGAAATATGGATGATTGATGGCATCCTCCTCCCCCACTGACGTTTGGTTCAGGCTCTGGGTCTTTGGCAAGAGCAGATAGGTCTCACTCTCTGCTGACCACCCTGCTGCTACTTTAGGACCTGTCAGCGCCGTCTGAAATGAGACGGAAGTGCTCTGTTTCCATCTTCCCTCTGTCCCTCCTTCTCTGACAGGCGGCTTTACTGCATGTGAAGAGAGAGTCCTGACGCAGGGAGCTGGCTGCTGGGGCCCAGTGGCTGGTGCTGTGTGGTGATTGTGTGCTCATGCGCACCTTGCACGGGATGCTCTGAGGCTTGAGCACTCTGTGAACGCACCCCTCAGCAACCGCATATACTCAGGGAAGAATGAACTTGCCCAGCATAGCCATATTCCCAAAGTAGCTCTCCTCTTCCCTCATAGCCTCTATTCTTTGTAGAGAAACACTCCCTCCCATTTGAAATCCAAACTGAGGCCGGCGCCATAGCTCACTAGGCTAATCCTCTGCCTGTGGCGCCGGCACCTCGGGTTCTAGTCCTGGTTGGGGCACCAGATTCTGTCCTGGTTGCTCCTCTTCCAGTTCTCTGCTATGGCCCAGGAGTACAGTGGAGGATGGCCCAAGTCCTTGGGCCCTGCACTCGCGTGGGAGACCAGGAGATGCACCTGGCTCCTGGCTTCGGATCAGTGCGGTGCGCTGGCTGCAGCACGCCGGCCGCAGCGGCCATTGGGGGGTGAAACAATGGCAAAGGAAGACCTTTCTCTCTGTCTCTCTCACTGTCCACTCTGCCTGTCAAAAAAAATAAATAAATAAATAAATGAAATCCAAACTGAAAGAATATATATATACCCCCCAGCTCCATTATTCTGTAATTACACGGTATTGGGCTGGTGGACTCCTCCTTGGTTGGATCTTCTGTTAATGTTACATACTAAGCCTTTTTAATTTTGAGTTCCTTTGAGGGTATTCCTTTTAATGAAACACTATATAAAAGAAAAGATGGAGTTAAAGGGGCAACAGGAAGAGGACTGGAGAGAAGACAGGCAAGAGTAATTGTCTGCAGTTCTGAAACAAGCATGGCTTATGAAGATCAAGTTGTATTTCTGCTTCATGAATCATTGTCAGACAAATTAAGAACATATTGTTTCTTATTTATCTATTGTCAAGGATTCAATATCAAGCATTGAGAATAAATCTTGATTTTCATAAGCTCCGTTGACACTGTGGAACTACAGAGCATAAAACTTGCATCTAATAAACAAAGTGTGATGTGGAAGAGCAGAGGATGTAATGCCAGCATGCCTCACAGCTGCTGCCTGCTCCCTCTCCCTGTTTTCAGGATTGTTTCTTAGCAGAAGGGAAGTGTTTGAATAGAGAAGAATTTGTTATATCTGTTGTAAGAAAAGTTGTAGTTTTAAGTGTATTACTCCCCCAAATCTTAGAGATGGGGAATAATTCTGTTCATTTTTTACTGGTGGGTTTCCATCTCTGTGTCCCCACTTCCCACTGGCTTCCTTCCCCTGCACTTCCCTAGCAAGTGTTTAAAGAATGTTAAATGTCTAAACTATGTTTGTGTTATGGGCATCTCTACAGTGGATTGGTTATATAATTTTCATACAGTGTCTAATGTTACTGCTTACGTAGTTCTTGGAAGATTCTTTATCTGTGTGGAGTTCTGAGTACAATTTTTTTTTTGAATTCCTGAAGTTAAAATATGAAAATTATACCCTAATTTGATTAATAAAATCATCTCAGTGTGAAAAATTGAGACTTGATGGATAGCACAAATCTTTAAAATAATAAAAGTTAAAATACAAATAAATCATTTCAGCCTTTTCAGTAATACTTACTAACACATCACTCCCCTGAAGCCTGTAATATCAAAATTACCATCAATGCCATGAAACTGAAAGCTTATTTTAGACTAAAAATGTTCTTTTAAAACCAGTATCCAGTGACAGAAAGCAGGCTGAGTTTGCTTGGTATGAGGTGGGGAGAACTGACTGCGTTAGGAGTACAGGGAATTTGCCTGGGGTGGTGGAAACAGATAAGATTCTCAAAATTCATCCAAGTATGCAAATAAAATGGGTGTATTTTATTGAGTGTCAATTATACTTGAATGAAATTGATTTTTGAAAGTTTTAATGTGTCTTCATTTAGTAGCATTAAGCTTAATAGACGCTATGACCTGTAATCATATTATAGCCTCCCCCTCATATGACAGTCTCCCCCCACCTCCCAGCCCAGCCCCACAAGTAATGAGCTGTTTTAATGTCAGGTAAAATATAGAAGAGCACAGCAGAGCACATAAGTTACTAAGAAGAAGGTAGAAGCATACGGAGTATGTCACTGTCGTCCAAAGGTGATGGTTGAGGACTTAGGACATCACTTGCCTTCATGTCCCTGTCAGTGAGATGCTCTTAGACTGACTGGGTCCAACGCAGGGGCAAGAGAGAGACCAGAAGTGACATGACCTCAATTTCTTTTGGCCAGTTGTTGCGAAGCTCTTTGGTGAATAACAGGACACAAGCGAAGGTGGCAGAGGAGCTGGGCATGCAGGAGTACGCCATCACTAACGACAAAACCAAGAGGCCCGTGGCTCTTCGCACCAAGACCTTGGCAGACCTTTTGGAATGTGAGTGCTACAAAGCTTTTCTCTTGGCCCGAAGGTTCAAAGCCTAAATCACATTGACCAGTATTTATGCTTTGTCTCATTAGGTTGTAGCTAAAGAAATCTTTCCTATGTTATTTTTTAATTTCTGCTTTTCACCAAAGCTTGTTTGAAATGGAGTACTTTGGAATTAAGACAAGTAAATAGTGAGTTTTATGTTTAATCTACGTTCGGTGGTAGCAGTCTATCAACCACTAAGTCCTAACACTCAGCTGTCCCATCCATTTCTGTGAAACAGCAATAGATTATGAAGGTTGGTATTTATGAAACAGATTTTCTGCCTCCAGCAGTCTTCGTATGGGGCACAGAGGAAAGATGGGTAACTTGCTTATTAAATACTTAAAACCATTATTGATTGATTTGAATGAGCACAAAGCTATATGAACAAATGTCCCTTTTTTTTTTTTTAGGTTTCTTTATTTATTTGAAAGGCAGAGTTACAGAGAGGGTGAGGCAGAGAGAGAGAGAAAGAGAGAGGTCTTTCATCTGCTGGTTCACTCCCCAGATAGCCACAATGGCTGGAACCGGAGCTGAGCTAATCTGAAGCCAGGAACCGGGAACTTCTTCCGGGTCTCCCATGTGGGTGCAGGGACCCAAGGACTGGACCATCCTCTGCTGCTCTCCCAGGCCATGGCAGAGAGCTGGATTGGAAGTGAGGCAGCTGGGATGCAAACCAGCGCCCACATGGGATGCCGGCACTGCGGGCGGCAGCGTTACTCACTACGCCACAGCACCAGCTTCCCCAAATGTCATCTTTTGCAGTTTCTGATATGGAAACATCATAAATAATTTTATTACAGCTAACTAAAGAATTATACCCATAATTTTATTGTTTCTGTTGGTACTTAAAAAGAAGTAGATCAGTCACCGGTCGTCAGAACTTTTTATGTTATGATAGTTTTGACAGTTGGAGTTATGTACAGATTTTAAAGTCTGCCGTGCAAAGCCAGCTCATTTCTAAACTGCAGTGGCAGTCTGCTAAGGAACTTAGAAGAACTTTTTTAAACTAAAGAAGACTAATTTAAAGATTAAGATTATATAAAAATATGGTTGAGATATCAGTGTCATTGACAATTTTTTTTAGCTCAATGAGAACTGTTTTTATTCCCTCTTTTTTAAAAGGCACCATTTGTTTAAGGCACCTTTTAATGCAGTCATCTCTGAGATCATCATTTATTAATGGATGAATTGTTAAATTGTCATGGAGCCCAGGCTTAAGTTTTTCTATTTGAGCAGATAGACTCTTTGATTGGTCCCATATATTTCTTTGTTCATGAAGTTTAACACGGAGCCCTTGTGATCACATAACTAATGTGGAGAATGGCAGAATCCAACCATGTGCTCATTCTACTATCACCTCTGCTCTTCAAGCTGTGTTTTGATTCATTTGATGTTAGCGTGGTTGTGTTCCTACATCTTTCTCTGCCCTACAACAGCATTTCTGTCTGTTTTAAATTAACTGTTCATTTAGCCTTTAGTTAAGTGCAGCTTGGTCTTTGTACTCTTAGAATTTTGCATCTTAATCACATGTCTCTGTTGCTGTGTCTAACAGCAGTGATAAAGAAAGATGAAATGGTTATGGTAAAAAATAAAAGGACCTAGATATTGAAAGCCTTATTAAAATGGTGCTCAAAAGTCTACGTCTCTTACTTTTCCCAATAAATGTCAGTGAATTGTAGCTTATTTTAAAATTTCTGTTTTTTTTCCCCAGCATTTATTGCAGCGCTGTACATTGATAAGGATTTGGAATACGTTCATACTTTCATGAATGTCTGTTTCTTTCCACGATTAAAAGTAAGCTCATATAGGGTTTAAATGAGTAGTCTTCTTTTCTGCTTAGTGATTTCAGAACTCATTACTAAATACTTTTCTGGGACTTACTGCAGGAGTTCATTTTGAATCAGGATTGGAATGACCCCAAATCCCAGCTGCAGCAGTGTTGCTTGACACTTAGGACAGAAGGAAAAGAGCCAGACATTCCCCTCTACAAGTAAGTGCTTGGTGCCCAATACCACAGGCCACTGGAGCCCATGTGCTTGGTGTTGATTTTCCATGTGCCTTGAGGAAAAACTGATGGAGTAAATAATCCTTGTAAGAGTCTGGGACTGGGACTTCCTGATGTCGGTATTACTCTGGGTCCAACACGGAAACTCTGTGGGCCTTGAAGTCTTAGCCATAAACAAATGAGTCCCACTCCATGACCACTACACTTCCCTCATGTCTAAAATTCTCCATGAACTTCGACCTGGATGACATACCAAGCTGATGAGATCAAGACAGGACCATTCAGATTGAATAGTTGTATGTGTGTATGTGTGTACGTGACATCTTCAAAAAGTTCATGGTAAATATGTATAATGAAAAACCTATGCATGGATTTAAAAATTTTTATACCAAAATAAACTTATCTATTAATTCCCCCTTTCCAAACTTTTGGGAGTACCCTTTTGTTTGTCTTCTTACTTCTTGTCACCTCTCCTGAACTCTGCCCACAGACTAGAAGATTATAGTTGGAACAGTGGTTGGGTGCTTCTGTCCTTTAAGCTCCCGTTGGCCCTGTCTGTGGCCTGGCAGGCAGGCTGTCTCCCTCCGCAGTCGCTGTAAGAAGATGGGCAGTTGTGCGCTGCTGCTGGGGCACTCAAGTATTGGAACCCTTTCTTTTTCTCAGAATTTATATCCAAAGCTGCCCTATACAAGTGCTTTTATCCTTTGAGTGGTAGCCGAAAATCATTCCAGAGGGATGCAGGTGAATAGTGAGTCACCATCCCACACCACACAGTGTTGGTTTTGATGACAGTGGAAGGTGGACTGTGAAGTTGGATAATTACCTTGTGACTCTCCTATGTTGATTCAGAAGGTGGTTTCAAAGAGGATTATTGAAATAGATGGTTGCATTCCAAGATACTATCTGGATATGTGATTTTAGCGATGTTTACAAATCTAGTTTCTGTATTGTTTTATCACATGTCTATGTACACACATGTTTGCAAGCACACACAATTTTGTCTAAGTTTGATATGGAATAAACCCCCGCCCCTGACTTTGGACTTTATCAAACAACAAAATGCTCCAGGAAGAACACCAGAATGCAGCTGGGAATTTTAAGTCCTGTTTCATGTTTTTATTTAATAATCACAACACTTTATAGGCATTTTTGCCAAAAGAAAACCTGAGGCCAAGAGAAGGTTGAGTCACCCCACAGCAGCTACCATAAGTGGTGCCAAGAAGCTGTCACAACTAAACAGTGTTTCCTTTATTTATTGGGGAAAAAAAACCCAAATGTTTAGAAATAGCACTTTAATATGTGCCTAATAAGCATAATGAATATCCAAACTGTATTATATGAAAGGCTTAAAGTATTTCCTCATCAAAGTGATAATTAAGGTTCAATAAATAAAATGAGGATGATAAACTTCCCATGGCACGAGTGTGATTACTGTAATAAGCACTACCTTAAAGAAACCGCCTGGGCACTTTCATCCCTGGGCGTTTATGAACACGAAGGAAATTACTATGCTCCCATCTCATAAATCCCCCAAATGAAAGCACACGATGAGTTTGTTCTTTTTTTTTTTTTTTTTAAATCAAGATTGAGGGGGCTGTTTTACATAGTTTTTTCAAGATTGCTGTGTTCATTCCATTATCTTTGTTGGCCACTTTTAATTTCCCTTTTCCATGAAGTTATCAGTTTTACAACATTTGAAATCTGCACCATGTCGTTAAAATAGAGTACCTGGAGCTTTGTTTTTTTCGTTGATTGTGTTGTGTGCTTATCATTACAGCATAGCTTGGAAATGAACTCAGATGCTTCAGAAATTAAATACGTTTCCTGATCTTTTAGATAAGATACCAGACATTAGAAAGAATCCCTGAAGGATGTGAAATTGTTCAGGCGTGGCTAGAGGCATATACCCAAATATGTGCTGTTTGTAGCTGTTAAGTTTTCACAATGAAAACTGTGAAATTTTATGATATTTGGTATATGCACACTTAAAAATTATTTTAAAATATTTTACCTTTCACTGTTAGCCTTCAGATTCCATTCGTATTACTTTGCAAACAAAAAAATAAAAATACAATATAGAATATTTAAATGTTGTACTTCAAAAACTCTATTTGTCAGGTTAGCAGATCAAAAACTTATCCCTTTGGCTTTTCCTGTCGTTGTCATTGTTTCTTGTTCTTTTTATCTTCCTCTGTCCAGGCAGTCCACTAGTCTGTATATTTTCTAGGAGATACATAGTAGGAACAATAGTTAACAGCACTTTCACATAATTCGTGTTCTTTGCTTTCCCTTCCAGAACTCTGCAGACGGTGGGGCCATCCCATGCTAGAACCTACACTGTGGCTGTTTACTTCAAGGGAGAAAGAATAGGCTGCGGAAAAGGACCAAGGTATGAGAAGAAGTTATTTTTAATTTTATCGAATGAACATCCTGGGTGTCTGAGAAGTCCCCACGTGCTATTTCCAGACTCTGCAGTCTGTCCTTGTGGAGGCAGAGTATAGATTGTTCTAGGGTAATAGCAGCACACGCCAAGCCCCAGATTGGAAAGTTGATTTTGGCCAGTGGGAATGCTGTGGCGTATGGGGCTTTGGCTACCTCGAGAAAACCGCATTTCCTGGTGTGCAGGCGAAGCCTGTCCAGTTTTAGTTACCCAGCACAAGGCAGGCCAGTCAGTCATGTAAGATGTATTACCTGTGTGACGCAGCTCTTAGACGTTTGATTTCTCGTCACTACTCATTTGAGCATTGTGGAAGTGCTGACATCTCTAGGTAAAAAAAATTTTGTGTACTATCTTTCTTTGATTCTTTCAATCTGTGTCTTACACTGAGAAGTGATTTGAAGTTTGTCATTTTCTTTCCCCTTTAAACTGAACTGTGAGGGTATTCAAACTTAAGCAAGAAATACTTCAGACCTAATATAATTGAAAGGCATTTTAGTGTACTTTTAAAAGTGTGGAATGAGTAACTTCAATAGGCTTTTTTCTTTTTTCAGGTTTATTAAAATAAAGTATTAGCAAACAATTGCAAAAACGAATTTTTTTAAGAGTTATGGCTTTGAAAAGCACAATATACCAATAGGCTTTGTGCAAATAAATGACATTTCAGCCTGGTCTTGTGTATATTCCTATCTATGTAATTCTGTGTCTGACAGTAGAAATAATCATGAAATTTTATGCACCAAGCATGAAAATCATCCTGAGTAATTTGTAGCCATACTTTGTGATTTTGAAAAAAAAAAAGCTTTAAATTAAAGTATGCCTCACTTTTATTGTGTTTAATAGTATTCAGCAAGCAGAAATGGGAGCTGCAATGGATGCACTTGAAAAATGTAAGCCTATCTCTTTTTCTTTAATTATATGTTCATAATGTAATGAGTGTTTTATGGAAAGAAAATGAGGAGGTAGAAAAGTGGTAAGTACTGATAAAATGTGATCTTGTTTTCTTCATAATTATTCTCCACACAGAGGGTGTAGTAGAATGCGAGATATGTGTAAAATGGGCTTACAATTTAAAAAAGAAAGTATTCCCCAAGTGCATTTTGATTTTGATTTTCCTTTTTTGCATAGAGCCCTACTCTCAGCCTAGACCTTGGTTTCCTTCTATGTATTTCTCTGTCCTTCTAAAACCTTACACAGACCTAGATGTATAGAGATGTGAAATTTTTTTTCAGTCATTGTTTTATGAAAAAGGGTGCTACTTATATAGTCTCTATGTCTTTGTTTTTCTTGCTCAATAGTGTATGATGGGCAGCCGTCCTTAATGGCTGTATAGTATTTTCTGCTATGTGGGGTGTACTGTACTTTATTCAGCTTTTTACTATTGGTAGACACTTTGTTTCTCTTTGTTGTTGCTTTCTTTCTTTCTTTCTTTTTTTTTTTTTTTTAATGTTGTTAACAGTCTTTGCATATTGGTGCTTTTATTGCTGTGGGATGGATTCCTGAAAGTGGGGTGCCTGGATTAAAGAAACTTCAATTACATCATTGACCATATAGGGAACTGCATAATCTTTTATAAACTGAAGACAAGAGTACAAGGAAATTTTCTTCTGGGGTCTCTTGTACCATACAGTGGAACCTGTGGGTACAACATGACGATATGATTTTATTATGTGTTAAATTACCAGCTGGATGAGGTAGGAGAGAGCAAAGTGTGGGAAAGTGAAAATGAAGAGGCCCAGGATTCTCAGCTCTAGGAGAGATTGCTGGAAAGGCCAGAGGCCCAAGAGCCACATGGAAATCAGCTTCCTATCTGGGGTGGAGACGTTGGTTAGTGGAGGCAGCAGATAGTGCTGTTGGGGTCTAGCCCCCATATAATCTTCACTGAGAGTTTTCAGTTGACTCTGATGGGAACTTGTTCATCATGATGGTATAAATGCACGATCACATGTCCAAATATAAGTGAGATTCCACTTTGCAGTTAGAAAGTTGTTACAGGGGCTCACGCTGTGGCGTAGCAGGTAAAGCCTCCACCTGCAGTGCCAGCATCCCATATAGGTGCCAGTTCAAGGCCTGGCTGCTCCACTTCTGATCCAGCTCTTTGCTATAGCCTAGAAAAGCAGTGGAATATGGCCAAATCTTTGGGTCCCTGCACCCACGTGGGAGACTGGGAGGAAGCTCCTGGCTCCTGGCTTTATATCGGCGCAGCTCCAGCTGCTGTGGCCAATTGGGGAATGAACCAGTGGTTGGAAGACCTCTCTCTCTGCCTCTTCTTCTTTCTCTGTGTGACTCTGACTTTCAGATAAATAAATGAATTAAAAAAAAAAAAAGAAAGAAAGAAAGCTGTTATAGGTTATCTTTGGGATTCTTTGCTAGTTTTCAGCTCTGAAGCAGTACTGGAGAGGTCACCCATTATGAGACAGACCTCCATAGACTGGTACAAGTGAGCTGTTTAGGCTGCTGGAGGGCAGTTTGGCAGCATATTACCAGGTCCTTGGAGAAACCATACCCTTTGATGCAGAGATTTTACTTGAGGAATCAAGCATAGGAAATCATTGGAGTTACAGACTAGATAGAGATCACACACTGTGATAATCACAACAACTTAATTTACAGTAGCAAAACAAAAACAAACAAATTCAGACTGCATGCTAACAATAGGGAAATGGTATGTCTCTGGGGTTGACAAATGTTTTCTGTAAGGGCCAGTTGTATTTTAACACTTCACAGAACACACAATCTCTGTCCTGGTTACTTAGCCCTGCCATTATAGCCTATGGGTATGGATAGTAAGCAAACTAATGGGTGTGTCTGTGTTCCAATAAAACTTCATTTATAAAAATGGGCAGAGAGGGCCATATTTGGCCTGTTGGTACTAATTCTTGCTGTATCCAAATGTAATATTTTGCAGCCATTGAAATGAAGTTTTTAAATACTAATGTTATAGGGAAATGTTTATATTAGAATAACTGAAAAAAAAAATCCCTGTAGATACACACCTATATATTGTACTCCCGCACTGTAAGAGTGGATGGTGGGATGATTTTTAAATATTTATACATCTATGTAATATACATATACATTTACATTTATATATATATGTATGTGTGTGTGTGTGTGTGTGTATATATATATATATATATATGTAGTATGACTTTACCTCTTAGGAAATAGGCTGTAAGGATATATCCTGAAAGTTTATCAGTAGTTAGAGCTGAGAATGAGTTTCTTTTAAATGCAAAATGAATTTTATAGTGAAATTTCCTGAGGCAATAGGGTTCATTTTATAGAAACTTGCTGCATTATTTTTATTTTTATTATTTTTTTATTTTAATTTTTTTAGAAAAAGTACTTGCAGTGTTTGAAACTTATGATTTACACAACATGTGAGGTATCAATGTATTTAGGAGGTAATTTTATTTCAGAAGTAATACAGATGCCATGTTTCTCTTTTGTTTAATAATCACTGACTCTCAGGCATACAAGAGTTTTCCTGATTGACTGTCTGTCTTTCAGATATGTTTTCAGCCTGGGATGAGGAAGGGACACTCCATTAGAAGGGGAAGGGGGAAATAATTTAGGAGCATGCTATATGTACAGATCCACTTTCATTATACCTCACCTTTAAAACAAGCTTGTTTTCCTCAAACATGTCATGTCTCCACCCATCTCTGGTTCTTCTTGTGTTTGAATAGCCCTTTATCTGATAAATAGCATCATTTTTCTCTTTGTGCTCCAAGGCAGTGTGTGTAGTTCTTACCCATGTATGCATCCCTTTTTAAAAATATATTTTTATTTATTTTGAGGGGTAGAGTTACAGAGAGAGGGAGAGACAGAGAGAAAGGTCTTCCATCCCCAGCTGGCCACAATAGCTGGAGCTGAGCCCATCTGTAGCCAGGAGCCAGGAGTTTCTTCAGTTTTCCCATGCAGGTGCAGGGGCCCAAGCAGTTGGGCCATCTTCTGCTGCTTTCCCAGGTCATAGCAGAGAGCTGGATAGGAAGAGGAGCAGCCAGGACACAAACCGGCACCCATATGGGATGCTGTCTGTTTAAGTAGGTGTTTGTTGACCAGGTATACAGAAATGGTTATTTCTGGTTCCATACTTGATTTCTTTCTTCACTGCTACATGAAAGTTACACAGCAAATGACAATGAAATTGTGAAATTTCTCAGTCTTAGTGAAGACTTCCATTGTGTCAACAGTGTTGCGTGGGGTCAATCTCAAACTAAATATAACTTAACCTATGTCATGGAGTGCAATGTTTCCTTTAATTGAATCAAATTCTGTACTCGAGTTGCTTGTGCAGTATAGCTTTCAGCCTTTTAGGGCAGACTTTACAAATAGGGTGATTTATCAAAAATAAATTATAATGTGGCCTCCTTTTGTCTATCTGATCTTTTTTTTTTTTTTTTTTTTGCTTTTGTCAGAAACTTTCTTGGTAAATCAGAAACTTGGTAAATAATGGTGTGATAATACCATTATTTGTTTGGGTTTTTTATTTGAGCCCTTCAAAGATGTGTAACTGTATTTTATGGCATCCTTTCATTTTTTCTTGAAACTCACTTGTTGCTAGGAGAAACATGTTAATGCACCTGGTTGGAAACATTCCAACATCATACATCTATGATTTAGTGCCTTTTCTCTCTCAGGTTCACCTTAGATATTGAAATCTAGAATTGGCCAGTCCAGACTACCAGTGGGTTCTGAATCACAAAAGAACTATGGAATAAAATGAGGCTTTTTTTTTTCTCTTGTCTTACAAAATTCAACTGTATACCTGTCACAGAAGTTGGTGTTTGCATGTGTAGATATTTGGTTTGCATCATTCTTTGCACTAGTGGCTACCCTTTAATAAGTGTAAAATATATCTCCTTGTGCCAGATAACTTTCCCCAGATGGCCCATCAGAAGCGGTTCATTGAACGGAAATACAGACAAGAGTTAAAAGAAATGAGGTGGGAAAGAGAGCATCAAGAGCGGGAGCCAGATGAGACTGAAGACATAAAGAAATAAAGGAGGGCACGGAACTGGTGGTGTGTTTACTTGCCTAATAACTGTGACTGCTGCCCATTGAGACCTAGCCTAGTTTTCCTGCAGACAATGAATGAAGTGTGCCCATTGAAATAAAACCCAGTGTCAAATCACCATTGTTGTTTTACTGGTCTAATATTCTGTTGTTAGCTGGATGGTCTTTGTTACAAAGTGTTTTATTTCTCTTCTGTTTAATGGAAAACTTGACTTCGGTGGGTATGCGTTTTTCCCTTTTATTTTGCTTTCGAACAATAAAATTCAAGAAAGCATATTGTCCGTGGAATAGATCCTGTATTTTCTCACTGTCTCAGATTGTGAGCCCAGACTTTCAGCTGAGAAGTGAAAAATTCACTTTGTCAGGTATTTTGACTCCCTTCTAGAAATCTTTGGATTATTTGCTAGATTTTCAGCTTTCATCTGGATGTTTGTCAAGTTCTCAGCTGCATATATTGAATTTACCACTTTCCAAGCAGTGAGTCCTTTGTGGAAGGAATCTGTTTAAGGTTTAAGTGGCTAATAGGCGCGGGGGAGGACTGATGTTTGAGTCACACATGTTCTTTGAATCACTGGAATGGGGAAGCAGCCATGATTCTGAGTCAGACCCCCCTTTAAACCTGGAGTCAGCAGGCCCTCTATGAAGTTTAGACTGCAGGGATGTCTCAGAACCTCATGAAATGCTATTCAATTGTATGTGCCTGGTGGGGACTTGGGGAGGGGGGAGCAAATAGAGGAGGGGTCGGCACTTTGATCAGCTTTTCTAAGTGACCCCTGCAGAAAAGGGCTAACATTACATTAAAGATGTAACATTTAAAGTGAAACATTATTTTAAATTAAACATCATTGTTATTAATAAAGGCAAAACTTTGTAACACAACTGTGTTTTCATCCATTATTTCTGCAAGCACGACATGGGCCTACTGTGTATCAGGCACCATTCTAGGCTCTGGGACTCCTTGGTGGACATAAGAGACAAAACACAGTGCCCTCGGGAGCTTGTGTGCTGCAGCAATACCCTCAGGGGAACCAACGCGGGGAGCTGGGTGGGTGCAGTATGCTCTGAACCAGAATGAGTCATTCAGGTATACGGGAGACTGTTGCCTGCAGAGCTGTGCATTGTAGAAGATTCGGACAGTGTTATTACTTTTGTTAACAGGAAAAAGAAACAAATGACACCTTTACCATCTCGAGGGATAGGAAGAACACATAACCAGAAAAATAAATCACTCATGATTGCATCACCCAGAGGACTTGTATACCCTGTCAGGCCTTCTGTGCACATACGTATGTCTGCACAGGCACTCAAGTGTGTTTAACAAAGGATAGCAGACATGTGGTTTCCAGAGCCTCTCTTATTAGCTAACACACTGTGCATATCTTTCAGTGATAAATCCACATTTGTACAATCTACTTGTCGAGGGCTGTATTCATATACATATCTTAAATGGCAGTTGTGGATAGACCATAGTTTATTAACCAGTTAATGGAAGATGTGTAGGCTGTAAGTAGTAGTCACTTTCATGGACAGTGCTGCCACATACATCCTGGAGGACGGACACATTTGAGAGAAGACCTCTCCATTGTTTCTTTTTTTTGACAGGCAGAGTGGGCAGTGAGAGAGAGAGAGAGAGAGACAGAGAGAAAGGGCTTCCTTTTTGCCGTTGGTTCACCCTCCAATGGCCACCACGGCCGGCTGCTGCGGCCGGCGAACTGCGCTGATCCAAAGGCAGGAGCCAGGTGCTTATCCTGGTCTCCTATGGGGTGCAGGGCCCAAGCACTTGGGCCATCCTCCACTGCCTTCCCGGGCCACAGCAGAGAGCTGGCCTGGAAGAGGGGCAACCAGGACAGAATTTGGCGCCCCGACTGGGACTAGAACCCGGTGTACTGGCGCGCTAGGTGGAGGATTAGCCTATTGAGCCGTGGTGCCGGCCTCCATTGTTTCTTAATTTGTTAATCACAAGGCTGTAAGATGGTGCCTGTGAGAACAGGTTGTCCCGAGCGCCTTCCTCACCACCGGAGATCCTGGGAGACAGCTGGTGGCACAGCGCGGGGGAGGGGGAAGAGAGCTCACGCACATCTACCGCCCTATGGGGTGCAGTCTTTCTGAGCACTGAGGGTATATGAGGAACCAGGGGCAGGCCTGTAAGGGAGAGGATGCTATATTAACAGGCAGCCTTGACTATGACAAGCTAAAGTGAAGAAGCAAGGGAGACTACTTGAATTGTTTTTTTCATTTTAATTGAAAGGCAGAGAGATTCCTAACCCCAGGCTTGACCTCTCTGGTTCCTTCTCCCACCTTCCTGAGCCCCTTCCAGCTCTGCTCCTGCCCCTGTCCCTGTCCTCTGCCTGTCTCCCTCTCCTCTGGCCTGTCCTCTCCTGACTCCCACCTTTGGGCCCCTCTCTCTCAGTCCCTTGTCCTTCTCCCCCACGCCCACCCTCCGGCCCTGCGGCCCTCAGGATGCTGGAGGAAGAGCTCATGAAGGCGGTGAAGGCCTGCAAGTCAGAGCCGGAGGAGGTGCAGGCGCGGGAGCTCCAGGGAGCCAACGTGGAGGACTTGTGCAATGGCCGGGGGCAGCACGGAACTGGTGCGAGGCGTAGGCGGCGCAGGCCCTGCGCGAGTCTCTTCGCACCTGCGCAAACAGCTGCTTCCGTGACGCCGGGACCCGCGGAAGTGCCGGGTGCGAGGTGAGCCCCTGCGGGAGCAGGCTGAGAGACCTGGCCCGCCAGCCAGCCCATTCGAGGGCGTTCCCAGGCTTGGAGCGAGCGGCTGAACGGGCGCCTGGAGGAGGTGGACAGCCAGGCCTCTGACCACCTGGACGAGATGCCTGAGCAGGTGCAGGAGGTGCGGGTCAGTACGGAGAAGCAGGCGGCCAGATGGCGCTGCTGGCCGAGGCTTTCCGGGCCGGCAGGAGCTGTAGTGTCGGCGGCCCAGCTGATGGAGAACGCGCCAGCAGCCGTGTGCAACAAGACCTCGTGCCCAGTGAGAATCAGCACCTGGTAGGCCGCTCCTGCCCCGTGCGTCCTGCTTCCCCTTGTCTCGGCCCTGTTGGTCTCCTGGTGGACCCCTGCTTAATAAAATTCACCAAGCTCCACACAGACACAAAAACAAAACGAAAGAAAGGCAGAGAAATCTTCCGTCTGCTGATTCACTCCCCCAAATGCCCACAGCAGCCGGATGTGGACCAGGCAAAAGCCGGAGCTTGGAACTCAGTCTGGGTCTCCCACATAGGTGACGGGACCTAAGTACTCAAACTATCACCTGCTGCTTCCAAGGATGCGCGTTAGCTGGAGCAGAAGTGGAGGAGGTGGGACTTAGCAGCCACTCTGATGTCGGAGGCAGATGCCCCAGGGGTGACTTAACCACTGTGCCAAACACCCGCTTCTGAATCTTTTTTTTTTTTTTAATCACTTTAGTCATGACTGTGCATCAGAATAGTGCCAACGCCAACATGTGGTTCAGGAATTTTTTATCGGACTTTGCCTTTTCCTCCGTATCACCCTGGCTCTTTACAGGGCCTCTCTTATTGCTGACTCTTGAAACATGGAGAAGTTAAGTCCTTAAAGCACTAGAGAAGCTCTGCCAGTGGAACCTGCCAGACACACCGTTTGGAGCAGATTAAGTCCAAGGACCCTGGAGCAGCCCTAAGACCAGCAGCCAAATTGTGTAACTGGGCAGGCTACTGTGACCACAGATTCTGGCCCCGCCCCCCACCCAGCACAACTGTCTTCCCAGGTTCCAGGGCAGGACAAGAACCAGCCAGAGGGTAAGTTCATGCAGTAACTGTATTGTACCGGAGGCTGAATCGGGAGGTTTCTTCTCACAAGTCTCTTGGAATCTGGTTAGGAAGACACTTAAATGTGAGTGTTTGTGGATGGGCTTCCTAACCAAGACTGGAAGGGGAAGAAGGGAAGGCCCCAAAGGAGTTAGCACCTGAGTTCAGGGCCTTCTGGTGGGAGGGGGCTTGAAGGTTGAGGAGGACATGCTCAACGGAGCAACAGGATCTGGAGCAAGAGAATGGCTGAGGGGCGCGTGGGCTGCTGTAGCGAAATGCCATACCTGGAGTGACGTCTAAACGACTGGACTGGACTTCTCAGTTCTGGAGGCTGTCAGTTGAAGATCAAGGTACTGTGACATTTGTTGCCTGCTGAAGGCCCACTTTGCACTGTGCCTGCACGTTGGAAGGCACAAGGCAGCCCTCCGGGCCCTCTTTTCTAAGAGTGTTACCTCCTCTCATGAAAGTTCTACCCTCATGACCCTAAAAAGCCCCAACTCCTAACACCACTATGTCAGTGATTGGGTTTTCAACATGAATTTTGCGGGGGACACAAAACTTCAGACTATGGCCGAGAATGTTGTGATAGTCCATGAGAGGTGTGCGAAGGCCTGAAACAAGGTGTTGGGAATGGGGGTGCTGGCATAGAACAGATTTGAAAGATACAGAGGAGGCAGAACCTACAGGCCCTGGGGTAAGGCACCAGTGACTTGTAGAGCCAGGTGTTGGGGGCAGAACTGTCTCGTGCATTAGAAGGAATTTAGCTGCATCCCTGCTGCTATGACTCGGATTATGGTTTGTCCCCTCTGGAACTCATGCTGAAATTGAATCCCAATTAGGAGATACTAAGAGGTGGGACCATGCAGGGCGTTTAAGGGGTGATTAAGGCTCTGCCCAAATGAAGGGATTATCTCAAGAGTGGGCCACTGAAAAAGTGAGTTTGGCTGGAACTCTTGCTCCTGGTCACCAGGTGGTGCCCTGTGCTGCCTTGGTATCAGCCAGCAAGCAGGCTGTCGCCAGCTGGAGCCCCTCATCTTGGAACAGAGCCGTGAGCCAAATGAACTTTTTTTTTAAAAAAAAAAAAGATTTTTAATTATTTTACTTTGAAAGTCAGTTACACAGAGAGAGGAGAGGCAGAGAGAGAGAGAGAAGTCTTCCATCCACTGGTTCACTCCCCAATTGGCCACAATGGCTAGAGCTGCGCCAATCCGAAGCCAGGAGCCAGGAGCTTCTTCTGGGTCTCCCACACAGGTGCAGGAGCCCAAGGACTTGGGCCATCTTCTACTGCTTTCCCAGGCCACAGCAGAGAGCTGGATGGGAAGTGGAGCAGCCAGGACTTGAACTGGCGCCATATGGGATGCTGGTGCTTCAGGTCAGGGTGTTAACCCACTGCGCCACAGCGCCAGCCCCCCAAATAAACTTTTTTAATTTTTTATTTTTTTAATTGTTTTTTTTTTTTTTTTTTGACAGAGTGGACAGTGAGAGAGGGAGACAGAGAGAAAGGTCTTCCTTTGCCGTTGGTTCACCCTCCAATGGCCGCTGCGGCTGGCGCACTGCGCTGATCCGAAGGCAGGAGCTAGGTGCTTATCCTGGTCTCCCATGGGGTGCAGGGCCCAAGCACTTGGGCCATCCTCCACTGCCTTCCCGGGCCACAGCAGAGAGCTGGCCTGGAAGAGGGGCAACCGGGACAGAATCCGGCGCCCCAACTGGGACTAGAACCCGGGGTGCAGGTGCCGCAGGCGGAGGATTAGCCTAGTGAGCCGCAGCGCCGTCCCCCAAATAAACTTCTTAATAACTTATCCAGTCTGTGGTACTGTATTACCAGCAACAGAAAATGGGCTCAAATGCCTGGCTTCTACCCATGAGATGCCAATAGCATTCTTTCCCTGTTGTCTAAAAACATCTCCAGATATTACTGATACCGACTGGGGGCAAAAATCACCCTTGATTGAGAAGCGCTGAGGTAGTTGAAAGGCAGTGGGAGAGCGCCAGGGCAGTTTTTGTGCCATCAAGACACAAGCTGCTTACAGAAAAGTAGCATTAGGAAGAGAAGAGTTGAGTTGATTGTGTTGAGCTTGCAGGGCCTCGTGGGATGTTTCTGTGG